TTAATGTGAAAGGAGACAGATTACCGGGCCCATTAATAATCGGGACTTTCGGGAAACGGGCCCCTGGGCGGTACAAGTCGTTCTTACACATCGGGGTGGAACATCGTGCCGCCACAGTTGGCCAAGAGGGTTTGGTAAACCAAATTCCAGTCCTCAATTCCGTCTCAGTGTGTTTCAGTCCTCGCGCCGCCTTATTAGGGACCTTGCGAAACTACGACGGCGACGGCAAGGAGAACGTCACAAAAGCAATAGGTTTAATTAGAAAAACAACAACTCTGCACGTGCACCACGCTTTTTTATACAATTCTTTGCTGCCCCTGCACAACTACGACTAGCCCGCGAAAACATCCGTTTCTCCTCGCTCTTCGCCGCTGGGGACGTTTCGCGCGGAAGAGCGAGGAGAAACGGATGTTTTCGCAGGCTAAACTACGACGTTAAATGACCTAATTTTAAGATTACTTGAGAACGGGAACGGCTAGGCGAAAAATTCTAACATCTCTGTCTGATCTCGGACTTGGTCCCCTCTCTTCAGCTCCAACCAAAATTCCCTTCTTATAAGTAACAGGGCGAATTGAGATAATCGCGAGAAAGTTGAAAAGGATGCGAAGACTATTCTTCAGCGACATTTCCATGGACGTTGCCGTTGTCGGATCGTAAGGTCCCTATTTACTTCTGCGGCGGGCCGAACAGGTGTTGACACTGAACCAAAGTATGGCACAGAACCTATCCGATATGTGTCGCTCCACTTTCGAGATCGGCCCAGCGCAGCTTCGCTCCGACACAAAAATCGCGCCGCGACAACTGTTCTCGTTTGAACAGAAGCCCCATCCTGAATGATTTTCCCGCGCTTTGAGGATTAGGCTGCGTTCACAGTGTGAACGCAGCTTAATTCTCAAAGCGCGGGATCTCAACAAATGCTCTTTATGTGGCCTGATTTCCCGGGCATTCTTCTCGTTGTGAATTTACGTGGGATCCCTCTTCTCTTCGCATTATTTATTCATTTTGCCTTGAGAATGGTGTCATGATGATACAGAAACGTCGGCTTTTAACGTTAATATTCGCTTGCTGATCTCTCTTTTAGTGTAGTTATTCACCACATTTCCTAAGGCGTGATAATGAGCATTTTAATCTTTGAATTTAGCTACCTAAGTGGGCGTTTATTTGTTAAAACTAGCACATACACGAAGTTCCTTTGAAGTGGTGGTCAAATTGACTCTATGATTCCTAAATAACCTGAAAAGTTTTTTATGGCGAGCAAAACTACAAGCCGCTTTCTCCCTAACGGGAATTTATTTCCTTGTCGGCAGTGCTAGTTTCAATCTCACAAATTTTACATGTGCATTATTAACCACACCACGCTGACCACGCTTTTTCTGCTGACATGGCTGGACATCGCCTTGCTCTTTTGTTTTACTCGTTCTTTTTCTATGTATGGCCAAAAGGCATAAATTTTCTTGCAGGAGCAAAGCGTGCAACTCGCTACGAGCACATTGCTAGTCTGCGAGCAAGCTCTCCATTTGTGGGATATTGTGAAAAGTAGACGGGCGAGGGGCACGCGAGAGGAGACGCCAAAGCGGGGGGCGGGGTAGGGAAAGGAGAGCTTGCAATGATCGCTCTCCTTTCCTCGGCCCTTCGCGGCTTCGCCGCTAGCTCGTGCGTTTTCGCGCGGCTCGCTTTCACTCGCCCAAATACGAGAGCTTGCTCGCAGGCTAGCAAGTTGCCATCTAGCCCTTCTCTCACAGCCAGGCATGTAATAAAATGTGTTCTTATCGTTCCGTTGACGCTCAGTGATTTAGAAATTTTTGGAACTTAGCCTCGTTTACAGTGTCAAGGAAGTCCTCGTATCAATGGAGATTTTCAAAGACTAAGATAAGACCTGTCTTTCGTAACAGTTGTGCTTAGTAGGTGCAGTTTTGAGTAGTACAATAGGTACTAAGATCCAACGACACGGATGGCAACCAGAAGGTAAAAAAACAAAAGGTTTAATGAGCAAACAACAACTTCGCACGTGCATCACACTTCTTTTTGTACATTTCTTTCCCGTTTTTGCACGACTACGACGTGAAAATGCCTTATTTTGCGTTTTATGGAGGACGCAAACAAGCAACGACGAAATTTTATTTCTCTTTCTGAGCTTGGATATGGTCACTTAAAATTCAGCATCAGGAGGGTTCGCCTACATTTGACAAAGAAGTGGGAAGGAAGAATGGCTATAAAGGCTGAAAGAACTCAAATTCACTTTTTAAGCCACGTTCTCATTACGTCGCGTCGTTGGATCTTAAAGTCCCTAATAGCTCTTCCAGACCTCTATTTTCATTGACCAAAGTGAGTAGTAGCTTCTGCCGTTTTTTGGGCGAGGAGTACTGTTTGTTTGAATCATCTACTTTTTCGTTCTTCAATCACAGGCCATGTCTTGAAAGTTACTGATATTCTCGCTGTTATTATTATTTGCAGCTGAAAATAACACAGCCAAGTCAGTAACTTGTAGAGTTCCTGAAAGCTCCTTTTTTCCTCTATGTTCCATGAAAATAAAGGTAGGAACGACCATGCATTTATTCTCTCAGATCGATCGCCAGAGCACCCCGGAGAGCTTGCAAAACTAGCCTGCTTAGCATGGCGGTTTTGTCGAGCCGGGCGCCCGCCTTCATTACTTAAAGCACCCAACCAGAACCGCCATGCTACGCAGGCTATTGCAAAACAGGCTAATGCACTGTCAATGTAGCGTCTTTAACAGTTGCTATTTAGGTCGTCACGTACTCATGTAGATACGCAATCTATTTTTGAAGGACATTTGTTAAAACCTACTAACCTTTTCATTTCGAGAATGGTAAGAACATGTTGAGCGGTTAATCATCAAGGCGGGAAATGATCATCTTCGTTTTTCTAGTTTAGCTTGGTAACGGGTTTTAATTTGACTAAAACAAAATATAGCCTTCTGTTCGTTCTATCCCCACAAAAGAGCCTGTTATCAGGCAGGCTATTGCGATAGTTCAACTCTTTCAAAACCTTTGCCATATACATTTACAACGTAGTGATAAAGCTTTTTACCTGCTTTGATTGGTGATTTTGTGGTGGCGCGCGAGGCTGGGACTGTGTTGTGTCGAATTGCACTATGGGACTGTTTGGGGGGACGCTATTGCTTCTTTTATTGGCTGTTACAATGTTACGTAGGGAACTGGGTCAAAATTCGTTCCCCATAACAGTCACGTAGAGCAGTTCGACCCAACGCCGACCCAGGCTCTAGAACCACCTTAAAATGGCCATTGAAGGCGAAAACTTGCGATTTTTTAACAGTCAAACCAGTCCTGTTACACCTGAACCAAATTGACATCACTTCCGTGACAGCTACAGAGAAAAGTGTCTTTATTCTAACATCTTTCGAACGCGACCAACCTTCTACATGCGAAAATTTGTTTCCCCTGTCGAAGCGCTATAGCGGGAACATCCTATAGAGTGTTTTCACATGACGTCACGGCGGCTATATTGGTGTCCAAAAGCAATGAAACGGAGGCCATGTTGGTGTCCCAAACCAATCCTGTGGGAGTTGAACTCTTTTCTTATACAAACGCTTTCTTTTGTTTCAATAAATTTGCATAGATGCTGGCCACGTGAGTGAAAACATCCTATAAGCGACGTCTCCCCAGTATGCCAACCCGCCAAATCTTGAATTTTCATTGGTTGCAGCTCAGGCGCGGATCTAGGATAAATACAGACCGATTTCCTAAACGAGCGCCGAGGGCGCAATCTTCTAGGGGGATCCGCGGCATACTCCCGAGGGGAAATGTTGTGGATTTTAACTCACTTAAGTCTCCTTTCCTGGGTTTCTGAGTCATTCAGACAGGATATTGGTCAGTTCCAGTCTCCTCGGATGAAGCTTGGCCAATCGGTGGGTTATTTCATAAAGGTTAATTTCCATGTTGTAGTGGATATATAGAGGATATTACACGGTGGCGCGAAGATATGAATTTTATTTTCGCGTGCAAAACAATATTTTACTCACTCGCTGCGCTCGTTCGTAAAATATTGTTTTTGCCACGAGAAAATAAAATTCATATCTTCAAGCCGCCGTGTAATGTTCTTTTTATTATATAGACAAAAAGATATTGAAAAAATAATAGAGGGAAATTACCGAAATTACGTCATCGATAAACTCACGTGTGAGATTATGGAAAATAAACCACTCGGGTCCCGGATGTAGTTTTTATGAATTTTACGAGTGGTATATTTTCCAGTAAAACACTCGTGTCTATATAATAAGGAGTAATATTTCAACTTGGAAAGTTTTTTTTAAAATCAAAAATATTTTCATTATTTAAAATCTGACCGATTTCCGTTAAAAGGTAGAAACCGGTGTGAATCCGCGCCTTTGGCTCACTGTAGGCTCTGTGAGGTATTTTGAAAGATAATCCTCGCTTTCTTCAGAGTGTTTTAGGCTTAACTGCACCATTGTATTTCAAGGAAAAGCGTTTTCGCTGTTCCTCTTTTTTTATTTGTAGATTTGCGCGCTCGAAACGTGGCTTTTCGATCTTTAAAATACATCCTCGAAGCAATAAGCCCGCCAGTACAATTTAATTTTTTTTTGTATTACTTATTTAACTGAAAGCCTTATTAAAGAGAAATAACTGAGCCTTTCGAATAAGGGTATCACCAGCTAAAAGAATTGTTAGGTGATTCGCATTTTGAGGTATGAATGAAAATAGAAAGCGCAACTGTATTAATTTCGTGCCGACGGCAAAATTATAAATATTTACTAGCTGCTGTGAGTTGATTAAAAAAATGCCATGTTGTCAATAAGCGCAAACAACTTTAATATAATAATTAATTACTCTTTTTGGTTCGATCACTTTAAATTAACTTAACGTCACTTGCTAAAAACTAAAAAAAGAGTCCAAAAGGAGTCACAAGACAGCAGCTGAACCTTTCCAATATATTGAGCTGTTTTTCTTCAAGTGGAAGATTGTGGAATAGTGTTATAGCGTGACGGCTTCTAAGCTAAAAAGATGAGCAGCTTTACCTTTATAAACTGTATCCTTAATGTGCCGTTAATACTTGCTTGCATCACTGGCAACACTTTGATTTTATCCGCAATTTTAAGGACTCCTTCGCTTCGATCACCATCTACCATTTTCATGTGCAGTCTCGCCTTTTCGGACCTGCTTGTCGGAATCATCGTCCAGCCAGTGTACATCGCATATGAACTGAAACAAGAACCGCCTTTAACTTTCGCAATCAAGGTGTTATTCATTTTCACAGGCGTAGTTTCTCTCTGCACAATGACGGCGATAAGCGTGGATCGATTCATGGCCCTTCAGTTCCACCTCCGATACCAGTGTTTGATGACTGAGATGCGCGCCATGTATACATCATTGTCTCTATGGCTGTTTGGTATTCTGTTGTCGTTTATAACGTTATGGAACAAAACGATTATGTTTGCATTTCTTGCTGTGGGCATTGCGATTTGCATCTTTATTTCTACGTTTTCGTATACCAGGATTTATCTCATCGTTCGTCAGCATCAGTTTCAAATTCGTGCCCAACAACAGGTTCTACGGGTTCCCATGAACATGGTTCGGACTAAGAGAAGTGCCATCAGCACCTTTATTTACTACATCTGTATGATTCTCTGCTATACTCCAATGCTTAGTTTTATGTCGATCGTCGCTATTCGTCCAAGTCTTAGCGGTTTGATGGTGTGGAAAGTCGGTAATACTTTTGTTTTTATGAACTCTTCTATAAATCCCATTTTATTTTGTTGGCGCGTACGAGAGCTCCGAAGGGCGGTTTTAAAACTCGTCCGGCCGAGACACATTATTCAAACTAGCACTGGCTAGACAACGGCTTTGTCGCAAACAGGAAACAATGAAAATTAGCGATAACTATTCCTAGTCCGGTGGTCTGATAAAAAGGTTCAATTCATTGATCTTACTGTCAACTTTCTTTTTTGATTGCATGCCGAGTATTAGTGAATGTCATAAAGGCAGATTGCGAAACAGTTTGCGTCAGAGCTGGTCTTTTAATATGCGCATGCTGTGATATACCTTTGCTACAAAAAAAGGACACTCAATTTATGTCTGTCAGAGAGTCTGACATGTTCCACCTGAGTTTTCTCCTTTTTTGTTTGCGGCAAATGATGCTTTCGTTGGAACTACAGTCAACTCTCGCCTTGCGGACACCCCGCTATATCGGACACCCCGCTATGTCGGACACCCCGCTATATCGGACACCCCGATAATACGGACAGCAGCTAAATCCCCAGCAAAAACAAATTACCGACGTTTGACTGAAATCAACTCCCGCTATTACGGACACTCGCTAATGAGGACACTAACCCGAGGTCCCCACAGTGTCCGCTATAAAGGGAGTTGACTGTACTAGGAAGTAATGTTCAACGCGCTTGGGCACTCTGGCGCTTGGGCACCCTGGCGGTTTTTTTAAAAATCCCAGAGTATCGAAATCTAATTCGTATGTTTTTTTTTTCCTTTATTTTTCTGTATAAACAACGGAGAAAAGGGACAGGGGAAAGAAATTGGCCTCTCTGGTTCACTAAGCATCAATTTTACAAGAAAGATTTGACGCTAAAGGGGTAAAAAATGATAGGTATAACAGCCAGCGTCATCAAGTTCGTTGTCTAGCTCCTCTCCGACTCGGCCCCCGTCTCTCTCTCTTCACGCTGCCGAGTAGGGGAGGGCCCTGGCGACTAGTTTCCCAGCGTCATTTGCTTGCACAAGTGGGTCTACCCTAAAAATATAATCATTAGCGAAAATAAACCTTGACAAAAGACAGATGGTACCTTGGTAGGAACCTGGTAACATGGAAATGAGGTTTGAAAGTGCCCTTGCGATATTTACTTTAAAACACTTTTCCTCTTTCGTTTCTTTTCCTTGGTTAGTAAGGGTAATTTACCTGGGACGAGGGGGTATGTGGTATATTCACCTGGTACGCCCTCGGGGCGTACCCCGGAGGCTAGAGACAAGCAAATAATATACTTATTTTTCACTTGAGAGGTTTCCAAAAGCATAAAGCTTTTGAAGCGTTGAATTAATCTGTAGAGATGCTTATTCCCAAGAGCCTCGAATTGTTTGAGGTTGAATTCTGAAATATGGAAATTGATCAATTCATGTGGGGTAGACAAATACTACTTTTACCAGAAAGAGATGAGTAACTCAGAAGAAAATGTATTCATAAAGTTAAGGCAGAGCAGTATTGGAAACTCTTTTGGACATTTTACCGCGACAGATTTTTGTGTCAGTCGTCCAACGAGTCACATTGCAAACCAGGATGTTGTTATCAGCTCCCCTGTTAAAATCAAACGCCGCCACCATCTTTTCAGACAGTGAATAATAATGAGGGGTTATGCAATATATTCCCCTAAAAAGAACAAAGGAGATCAAGACAAGTGAAAAATTAGTGTGATTTTTTGCCTTACCGGACTCAAAAACCTGCTTTTATACGTTGGCCCTTTTCCACTCAAATGGTTGCCAATTTCGGTAGCTTTTGTTTCAGAAATCCGGCTAGATAAACAAATGAATAATGACTATTACCCCTTACATTTTTTTTTTTCACTAGGGATCTTAAGACGCCATCTTGCAATTGTCTAGTAGGCAAACGCAACAGAAATTACTGTGTTCATGTAGACCGTTTTCTTTCACGCGGCCAGCAGCTGTGTAAATTCTGACTCGTCCTTAGTCGTTTTCGCGCGTATCGCGCACGGTTAGAGCAGGGAGTGATGGGAATCTTTCTTCCTTCCCATCACATCCCGCGCGCCACTTGGGAATAACAATACCCACAGAAATACAGCCGACTCTAGGGAAATTGAAAAAAGTTCGAGTTATCGGGAATTCGAAGCAAATGACCGGAGATAAGGAAATAAGAAAATGGATGGGGAGGAAATGCAAGGATAATGCACACTTCACTTCAAGAGCAGAAAGAGATATATAGAGGATATTACACGGTGGCGAGAAGATATGAATTTTATGTTCGAGTGGCAAGAACAATATCTCACGAGTGAGCGAAGCGAACGAGTGAGATATTGTTCTTGCCACGAGAACATAAAATTCATATCTTCGAGCCAACGTGTAATGTTCTTTTTATTATATGGAGAAACCAATTCAACAAAAGCAAAAGGCGGGAATCGTGACGTCATTGAACGATACGACACTCACAAAGGTGACATACGGAAAATACGCCACTCGGGTCCCGGATGAAGTGGCGTATGGAATCTAC